AGCTGAGCCCATGTCCCCACCCTGGGGACAGGGCAGGGACCCAGCAGGGCTGGACACCCGGCTGTGTGGGCTCCCAGCTCCAAGGACTGTGGGGAGCAATCCCGATCCCACACACACTTTCACCTGACACACAAACACCCAAAGTGGCACCAAGAGCTCCGTGTCAAAGCTGGGATGTCCGCGCTGTCCCTGCCCTGTCCCCTCTCAGGCTGACGGGGCTGTCAGGACCTGCCGGGAGCAGCAGGGATGCAGTGGCAGCACCGGCTGGGACAGAGGAGGAAGAGGAAATTTTCAGGGAAATTTTCATCCCGTCCTCTACTTAATGATAAAATTGACGGAGAGGGTCCCCTCTCAGCCGAGCTGGTGGCATCAGCGTGGAGCAGGGGGACACGGCTGGTGGCCGCAGGGGAGCCCCGCTCCTCTGTCCCTCGGCTTGTCCCTTTCCTGGCCGCTCCCCGATGCTGGCCATGTCGCTGTCGCTGTCGTCCGTGGAGCACGCGTGACACCCAGTGGGCGAGCACCAGACTGCACACGCGGGTCCCACGGTGGCGCTGGCCTGGGGATGTCACCAGTGTGGGGACAGGGATCTCCGGCAGGGAATGGGGTGGCACTGCCCAGCAGGTTTGGGGTGGGGAGGGGTAACTTGATTGGGTCGGATGGGGGCATGGCTGGGGAGCCCTGCAGCCCCCAAGGCTCTGGGGTCTCCCTGGGACATGGGGGTCCTGTGAATTTGGGGCTCTGGGGTCTCACTGGGACATGGGGGTCCTGTAACTTTGGGGCTCTGGGGTCTCACTGGGACATGGGGGTCCTGTAAATTTGGGGCTCTGGGGTCTCACTGGGACTCTGGGGTCTTCCCAGGACCTTGTGTTCCTGTAACTTTGGGGTGTCACTGGGGTTCTGGGCTTTYTCCAGGCACTCAGGGGTCCCTGCAGCCCCAGAGCTTTGAGGTTGTCTCCAGACATTTGGGAGTCTCTTCAGGCATCAGGGGGTCCCTGGTGCCATGGGGCCCTGAAGATTTGGAGCTCACCAGGGCTCTGGGGTCCCACTGGGGCTCTGAAAGCTCCCCAGGATCTTATTCCTGTAACTTTGGGGCTTTGGGGGCCCGTTTGGGCCCCAGGGCTCACTGCAGCCCCATGGCTCTGGTGGCTCTGAGGCTCTGGACCTTCCCTGGGACCCCAGGGCCTCTGCAGCCCSAAAGCTTTGGGATCTCACCAGAGGYCCTGTGGGGCCCTGGGACTCCAGGGTAGTTCCTGAAGCCCTGGCACTTTGGGATCACACTGGGCACCCAGGGGTTCCTGCAGGCCTGGGGCTTTGGGATCCCCCCTGCAGCCCCAGGGTGTCTCATGCTCTGCAGCCCTCCTGGGTCAGAGTCTCACTGTTCCCTGGATTTCCTGCCTCTGTCTGTGTCCCTCGAAGCCCCTGATGTCTGTCAGAYATTTACCACCCTCCTGCTCCCATYCTGGGACCACCCTCCCCTCCCRGCCCCATCTCCTGATGCTCTGGGGCAGCTCTGACCCTTCCTGCCTGCTCCAGATGGGTTTTCCTGGGACACGATAACTCTCAACCCATCTTTTGTTTTTCCTCCCAGCTCTCTTGTTCATTCTCCAGGGGATAAACCCTGATGGAATGAGGATCTGAGGGGACTCAGTGCTGCGGCTCACAGAAACATTTTCTGTAGGAAAAACATTTTCATTTCGATTTGCAAAGGCTTTCAAAGGCGATTCTCGGAGGAGCAGGAGTGCTCACTGTGGAGGGGATTGCATGTTCTTCTCCAGCTCTGGAGAGCCTGGAAGCTCATCCTGCTGAGGTATCCAAGCTCATTAATGGGACTGTGAACASTGACAGGCAATGCAACCCCACTCGCAGCTTGGAAATCCCATATCCCWGCTCTGGAGCCTGTAAAGACACTTGGAGGGGCTAGAAATGGGAGCTGGAGGATGAAGAGAGGAGCAGGAGGGGGAAGGGACCAGTGAGACACAGGCAGGACGGAGCTGGGTGCTCCTCACTGCACCCTAAGCAGGGCCCTGCATGCCCTGAGCCCKCCAGGCTCTGGAGAGGCTCCACTCCCTGGAGCTGCTGGCAGAACAGTCCCCTGTGTCACCCCCACACAGGGACAGCATGACTGACAGCAGAACCCCGTGCTCACAGCAGCCCCTGCCAGCCCAGGGAATGGAGCTCCAGCCACAGAGGATGAGGATGGGACTGTCACAGCTTGAGGGCACATCCTAAAATGCTCCCGAGATCAAAGAATCATCATAATCCCAGACCACTTTGGGCTGGAAGGGACCTTAAATCCCATCCAGTCCCACCCCTGCCATAGCAAGGACACCTTCCACTGTCCCAGGGTGCTCCCAGCCCCAATGTCCCCCCTGGCCTTGGGCACTGCCAGGGATCCAGGGGCAGCCACAGCTTCTCTGGGCACCCTGTGCCAGGGCTTTCCCACCCTCCCAGGAAACAATTCCTTCCCAATATCCCATCCATCCCTGCCCTCTGGCAGTGGGAAGCCATTCCCTGTGTCCTGTCCCTCCATCCCTTGTCCCCAGTCCCTCTCCAGCTCTCCTGGAACCCCTTTAGACCCTGGAGGGGGTTCTGAGCTCTCCCTGGAGCTTTCCCTTCTCCAGATGAACACCCCGAGCTGTCCCAGCCTGGCTCCAGAGGGGCTYCAGCCCTGGAGCATCTCCGTGGCCTCCTCTGGACTCTCCCCAGCAGCTCCATGGTCACTGAAGTTAAAGGAGATGTGACAGAGGCAGCACAAACAGGTGGCCTCACATTTGCTGCACTCACCTTGCTGCTCCCTTGGCAGCTCCCAGCAGCAGCACCCAGACCCATTCCTCAGCTCCAGAAGATCTGAARGCAGTGGTGAAGGGTTGGTTGGAGMCCTGAGCGCTTCTGAGTGGGACATGAGAGCCCAGGCCAGCCCAGCTGGTGGCTWGCAGGGGGACACGATGGTGGCCAGCCTGCTCCTGGGTGGCCGTTCTCTTTTGCAGCTTGAACACCAACCTCAGGGACTGCTGCAGAAGAGGAGAAAGCACTTTTCATCCCAGTTCCCAGCTGGAACAGCCAGGGAGAGAAACTCTCCTGTGTCTCTGGTGCAGAGCAGGGCTGGTTCYGCCTCAGCGGTGCTGTGCAAGCAGCTGCTCCTTCCCACGGAGCCTGAGCGAGCTCCTCCACCCCGTGGAGTGCCCTCCCTTCTGTCACCCCCTCTGGAGCTCCAGAGCCCCCACCTCAGCTCCTCCCCACCCCACTCATCCTCACAAGGCCTCTCCAGGCTGTGTCCGGCTCTGGCTGGGGTTGGTGACTGTCCCCCTGTGCACAGGGACACACGGGTGTCACACCCCAAGGCACACTGCGGCGGCAGGGTCACACAGCCCATGGTCATAAATCTGCCTGGCCAGAGCTGTTCCCTGCTCCGCAGTCCCAAGGCCACCCCAAGGTCCCTCCAAGCAGGCACCTTCCCCTCCCCTCCCACTGCGGCAGCTCTGTCCCTGGAGCTGGGAAGCGCGGCCCCACRGTGAGCCCGTGTGCCTGGAGGGGCAGACTGCTCCTCCCCAGAAAGGCTCTGGGAGCAGTTGCAGCTCTCCAGCTTTCCCTTTGCTCGCTGTTCCATGAGTTTTTCCACATTCCATGACCCCATTACCCCATGGGTCAGCACYGGGGCTGTTCCCCATCCTCATCACAGGATTGCATGAGGAGGGAGCTGCACCTTTGCCTTGCAGGCGAGGCTAATCCAGGGGGAAGGGGTGTGRGAGTGGGAGAGCCTCATCCCAAAACAACCAAAATTATGGTCAAGAGAAACCTTGTGGTCATCAACAAGATGGGCAAGATAACCCCAGGTCTCAGCCAGGCTGGGGACTGAGGGKATGAGCAGGATCCTGGTGAAAGGAACTGGGACAAGGTCCTGGATGAGGGTGAACAAGAGGAGAAGGTTCTGGACAGGAGGATGGACAAAGGGGACCAGCTGCACCCTGGGCACCATGAGGAGCAGTGTGGCCCCCAGCCTGGCCAGAGTGGTTCCCAGTCCAGGGAGAGGCAGAGGGGCTGGAGAAGGACCAGCAGATGCTGCTGGCAGGGCTGGAGCTGTGCTCCAGAGAGGTGGGTTGGGATCTACCATCACCCTGCAGGTGCACTGGGGACAGAGCCAGTCCCTCTCAGCAGGGCATGACTTGCACCGAAGGASAAGGGACATGAACCACAGCTTCAGGGTGGGCAGGAGAATTGAATCCCCTTTTCCTGGGGAGGTGCAGTGAGGTGGGCAAGTCCATCCTTCCAGGCTGGGTAAAGCCCGGGTGACCCTTCCTGTGCTGGCATTGTCCTCTCGAGGTGGGAAGGGGTGCTGGAACCCCCCAGAGGGTCCATCTTCCTGCCAGCCCAGTGAGGGGCAACTTTCTCCTGCAAATGCTCTCCCTTCCCACAGCAGAGCCATCCACAGCCCAGGACACGGTGACAGCCAATGTCCTGTTCACCGGACTGTGTCCCATCCCTGACCCTGCTCCGGCCCACTGCCCACGGCTGCTGAAGCTGCTCCGGGCATCAGCTGACCCTTCCAGCAGCCGCTGCTGCAAAGTCAGGCACAGAGATTGCCGGGGCGCCGGCAGGGGACGGCAGGGTGGCAGCACGGGGGGCTCGGGGAGCCGGGGGCAGCTGTGCCCTGAAAGCCGAGCCACCTGCGCGCTGCTACCTGCTGAATAATAGAGGAGCCGACAGGCAGCGCAGAGAAATGTGATGCTGGTGAGCCAGCCCGGGAAGACATCTGAGCTCCCGGCAGCTGCGATAGCAACTGCAGCCAAGGAACCTCGCAGCCCCTTCTCGGCGCGGCCGGGCTGCCCGCAGCTCCCTGCCCATCCCGAGGAGCTCGGGAGCTGCGGGGGCGCGGGCTCGGGGCTGGCACGATGGTGTGAGCTGCAGAGGGCACCCAGCGAGGCAGAGCTCAAGGGCAGGGCTGGGTTTTCCGGGAGGTGAGGCACGGCCGGTGCCCGCCCGGGGGGCAGCAGCTCAGCCCCATGTCCAGAGGAGGGGAGATGGTTTATATCCCGGATGACTCCGACTTCAGCTCCTTCAGGGACCAGTGCGAGAGCCTGGAGGGCTGGCACTGCCGCTACAACAAGGCCGGTGTGACCGTGTGGAGTCAGGGCCAGGAGGARAGCTGCACCGTGCAGAAAATCAAGGTAAGCAGCCGCTTCCCCGCCCCAGCCGTGCGCCCGGCGGCTCCCGAGGGTCCCTGGGGACRGACCGCGCTGGAGGAGCACAGTCCAGCCTGCCTGAGGGCGTTTCTGCCCCGCAKTCCAGGGCTGGCAGGGTTACAGCCCCGAAGGTGCTCCCTGCAGCCTCCTGAGCCCGGCACGGGCGGGAAGGCCCCGGCATCGATCACCTTATGAGATGGCCTTGTCGGGAGCCCCCGGACACGACACAGGCTCAAGGGACACCTCCTTGGTGCCCTTTCCCTGGTTCTGCCATCCCGGGGCACGTCCCCTGCCATCCCCACAGGATGAGATCCCATAAGATCCCCCAGATGGTTTGGGGTTTGTCACTTGCAGGGGCTGGGGCTGGGGTGCTGCAGAGGGACAAGGACCTTGCTGCTCATCTCCACAGCCCCAGTGACACTGCCAGGTGGCCCTGGGCACATCAGGAGTGGCCGCAGGGGGCTGGGGGCACGGGGTGAGCCCTGTGTGGGATCATCCTGCGGGTCCATGGTGGGCATCACGGGCTTGGGCTTTTCTGGCCATCGAGAATCCARACTCCTGGGCAGGGATGGGATCTGCCAAAGCAAGGAGAGGCAGAACACCTGACCTGCAGGACAGCCCACCTGATGGAAAGAGYTCAGCCAGGAGGGTTAGGGGAGGGCTGCCATGGCCTGGAGGGTAGAGAAGGCACGGGGAGGTGGTGAGAAGGAACACAACAGGCGGGAAAGGGCTCTTCCACTGCTCTCCTGAACCCAGAATAACCAGCAGCACCTCTTGTGCAGCCAGGGAGGCACGAGGAGGAGCTGGGCACACACTGCTGCCATGGCACAGACCCTTCAGGGCTGGGGTGAGGAGGAGAGCAGCACTCTTGGCAGAGCTGCAGCTGCAATGCTCATTTCCCTGCTGCCATGGGCCAGGGAAGAGCTTCTGCACCGGGATCAGGGAGCTGCGCGTGAGCAGGGAGTGCTGAGGGGTCAGGCCAACACCTCTTTGAAAAGTCCTGGTGCCTGCAGCAGCCCCCTGAGAGCTGGGAAGAGGCAAACATCACATCTCTCACCTAAAAGGAAGCTCTGGGGCACTGTGGGCTGCTGTGTCACCTCCATCTCCGGGAAGGACATGGACAATRTGCTCCTGGGAGCCGTGTCCTGGAGGAAAAGGGAAGTGGGGACAGCAGCAAGGTCCTGCCAAGGGTAAATCATGCCCTTTCCTCCTGCAGGGAGGGGTCTGGCTCTGTGAGCRCGGGCAGATCCCGCAGATCCAGCCTTGGACAGGCCTTCCCATAGTCTCAGTATTGCCACATCAGTGAGATCTGGGCTGGAGAAGYGGCTGCTGCTCAGAGTGACCAGGACAGGCTGGCAGGAACCCCTGGAGCCAAGGCCAAACCCTCAGCCTGGCAGAGGGGGTGCAGTTCTGTCCCTTCTGCCCCCACGAGCCACACAGAGAGGGGACCCCAGGCAGGTCCAGAGGGGTCAGGAACCATCACCCACCCTGGGTCAGTGCAATAACGGGGTTTTTCCCTGCCCTGGAGGTGGTCTGGGGACATTGAAGGGGTTGGCACTGCCCAGAGCCCCTTCCCAAAATATGGGATGGACAGCTCTCTTGGGGTCAGAAGAGCCTCAGTCCTCCCATTAACCAAGGGAGTTAATTAACCTGAAGATCCCCTGAGCAGTCGGAACTTTGGATTTTTTCCACCTGAATTCCCTGCGGATGGGCCCGGGCTCTGTGCTCTCCCCATCCCAGCTGGTCACCCGCTGTGCCTGGCAGGAGAGGGGTGGTGGACAGGCTTTAATGGGGAATTTGGGGGGTGTAAGACCGTGATGGATAACCATAACTTCCAGGAGGTTCACCTGCAGCTGGAAACACCCCTCACCCTGCAGCAGCAGCAACCCCAGACCCAGCTGAGTGGGTGTAGCCGGGGATGGAGCAGCGGGAGGGGCTGGGTGCTCCCACCTTCACCCCGGTGCCCCGGGGACTGCAGCACATCTCCGAGCCCGGGCCACCAGCCAGGCCAGCGGGGAAAGCTTGCCCGAGATTGATGGGACCCGCCAGGCTCGGAGGGCCATCTCCGCTTACACGGTGGCTCATCAAAGATGCAAGGGCTCTAACGAGGAGCAGATGACATCTCCCTCCTGCCGCCGCTGAGCGCAGCAGGGCGGCCGCCTGCATCAATAATGCACGGGCTGGCGCGGCCGGGCAGCTCCGCGGCTCCGGTTACAGCCGGGGGCGAACAACCCCCGGGACCGGACCCCGCACCCCAGAGCATCGGGAAGGGGCACCCGCAGCCCTTTGTTTGCCCTGCAAGGACATGGGGTGAGGGGACAGGGCAGCTCCTCAGGCACCAAAAGCTGCATCACCAGGCACTTGTTTGAGGGCAGAGGGTGTTTCTGAGCCCGCTCTGGCTGCAGCACCGCTGGCTMTGGGGCTGTCCTGCAGCACSGACCCCGTGTGCAGAGCATCCTCCRTGGCACAGGGACAAGGGACAGCCCAGAGTCCTTGTCCCCCGGTGGGCACAGCTCCAGGGCTGGGTGCTGGTTCCCATCCTGCCCCCCGCCCCTCTCCCCACAGACCCGCATCTCCTGCAAGGACGTGCCYGCCGAGACCCTCTATGACGTGCTGCACGACACCAGCTACCGCAAGAAATGGGACTCCAACATGATCGAGACCTACGACATCGGCCGCCTCACCGTCAACGCTGATGTGGGATACTACTCCTGTGAGCGGCCCCTGAGACCCCCAGAGCCCCCGTCCCCACCCCCACAGCCCTGCGGGGTGCGTGGGGCCGCGGGGGTGCGGTGTAACAGGATCTGTCCGCAGGGAAGTGCCCGAGCCCGCTCAAGAACCGGGATTTCGTCACGCTGCGCTCCTGGCTGCCCCTGGGCAATGACTACATGATCATCAACTACAGCGTCAAGCACCCGGTGAGCCCCGGCTGCCCCWGCCCTGGCAGCGCTGCCCGCGGGCACCGGCAGGGCTGGGCAGGCGCTGAGCTGTCCGGAATGGAATCTCTCGGCAGAAATACCCGCCCCGGAAGGATTTCGTGAGGGCGGTGTCGCTGCAGACAGGGTACCTGATCAAGGCGAACGGTGACGGTGCCTGTGTCCTCTATTACCTCACCCAGGTGGATCCTCGCGGTGAGTGTGGCAGGAGGGGCGGGGGGCTCACCCCGAGCTCGCCCCCCGGCTCTCCATCACCCAGCCCAAGRAAGGAGGGGTGCCCACCCCACCCCAGGGTGTCACGGAGTACTTCCCCTGGGGCTGGCCCCGGTGAGTGACGGGGCTCTGGGCTATTTGCAGGGTCGCTGCCGAAGTGGGTGGTGAACCGCGTGTCCCAGTTTGTGGCACCGAAGGTAAGCGTGGGAGGCACGGACAGCAGGAATGGGCTGCCCAAATTACCCCGGGATGGGAGCAGGATGGGGGACCCAGGAGCCACAGGATGGGTGCTGGGTGGCCCAGGGCTCCCAGGATGGGTCCAGGATAATCCAGGGCTCTTAGGATGGATCCTGAATGATCCGGGCTCACAGGACAGGTCCTGAGTGACCCAGGGCTCCCAGGATGGGTCCAGGATAATCCAGGGCTCCCAGGATGGATCCTGAGTGATCCGGGCTCACAGGACAGGTCCTAAGTGGCCCAGGGCTCTCAGGATGGATCCTGGGTGACACAGAAAATGCACTGGGTACCCTGCTGGGCCATCCAGGCCCCCATCCCCTCCCAACACCCCCAAAACCTGCAATGGGGGGTCTGGGAGCTGTGCCCCCAGCGCAGGGCGGCCCCCCCGCTCCAGCCCCGCTGTGCCCGCAGGCGATGAAGAAGATCTACAAGGCAGGGCTGAAGTACCCGGAGTGGAAGCGGCGGCACGACCCCGAGTACAAGCCCTGGGTGTACCCCGAGCAGAACACGCTGCCCAGCGTCAGCCTGGCCGAGCTGTCCGTGCAGCACGCGGATTCCCTGGAGAACATCGATGAGACCGGGCTGCCCGAGGACCACCTGAGTGCCAGTGACCACGAGGCCTGAGCTCTGAGCACGGGGGGATCCCCTCATCACCGAGGCTTGGCACCAGAGGGCACGGCCGGGAATTTGGCCCCCTGCTTCCCAATAGTCACATCTGCTSTCCAATTCCTTCATCACTGACCCCCCTACCCTGGCAGTGGGGAGCTGTCCTGTGGGATCCGCATCACAGGTGCTGGAGAGAGGGAGGGTGGGCACCCTGACCCCCCTGCACCCATGGAGATGTCCCCACAGGAGACAGGGCTGGCAGTGAGTGTCCCAAGGAGAGGCTGGGGAGGAGCTTTCCTGGCACCAGGATATGTCTCTGCCATTCTGAGACCCTCAAAGGTCCAGAAGTGGGGGGTCTGTGAGGGTCCTGCCTGGGCTTTGCTGCAGCACAGGGCTTGGATTGATCCCCTCTGGCCTGAGGTCCAGCTCTGCCAACCCCGAGGTCAGGCTGGACCCACTGCAGCTCTCCAAGYCTCTCCAAGCTTTGTGTGACCCCCTCCCATCTCAGGGAGTTCCTCTCCTGAGCACCAGGCTCGCCTCTGAAGGCTGGCCCTAGCCCAGCTGGCTCTGGGGACCCCTGTCCCAGGTGGTTGGGGGGATTTGTCCTGGCAGTGGGGTCTCAGGCTGCCTGTCCCCACTCTCTGTTTGCCGCTGCTGTGGTTCCTGGCACAATAAAGGRGTTGGTGTGTGTGCGAGAGCGCGTTGGGCTGGTGTGGGATGGGCACGGAGTCCACCCGGACTCATCCCAGTCTGGGCCGGACAGGAGGGTCCATCCCTGCAGCCTGGGGTGACCCTCAGCAGGGACAGAAGTGGCCACAGCAGGACAGCACAGAGGGATGCCGGGCTCTGCTCCCCCACGTGAGCGTGTGTGGGCACGGGGCAGTGTCCAGCGGATAACGGGAAGTTGGTCTAGACAGGCGCTGCGGTGGGAATACGCTGACACAGGAGGGATTTCCCACCCACTCCTCGCCCCCACCCTCCGAGGCTGCCTGTGGCTGCTGGGCTCCGTCCCTGGCTGGGTCTGAGCCTGATCTGTGCAAGGTCAGTATAGACGGGGACGTCACTGCTGACAGTGTTGGGGTGCTGAGCAAGGTAAAGCCTTGGGGACATGGCCAGCACGGGGCAGGCACTGTCACAGCCACCATGTGGGGGACGATTGAGTGAGTGGTGCGAGACACCCCCTGGGCTTGCAGCCTGCCCAGAGCTGCCTGTCATGGTGGCTTTTGGGGTCCCTCTGACCCAGCCTCACACCCTGGTCCCCCTSACAYCCTKGTCCCCMTSACACCCTKGKCCCCCTGACACCCTGGTCCCCTCCAGAGCTGTCAGTGCTGCTGCCCTGCGAGTGCTCCCCCCACACCTGGAGCTTTTCCTCCCCACYTCACCCAAACACTCACCCCAGCACCCCAGGGTTCCCGGGATGGATCCTGGGTGACACAGGACATGCATTGGGTACTCTGCTGGGCCRTCCAGGCCCCCATCCCCTTCCAGCACCCCAAAACCCAGAATGGGGGAACTGGGAGCTGTGCTTGCTGTCCCCCTTTAGCCACCCTGTAGGGTCACGAATGTCCTCTCTGCTGCCTCGGGGGGACACCGCACACACACGGAGTGCTGGCAAGGGGACAGAGGGTTCTGGCCATGGGGACAGCTGGGTCCCAGGGTTTGCAGCTGGGCTGGCAAAAGCCACCTCCATAAGGAAAATGTGGAAAACAAGGRCAGGGGATGTGCAGGTCCCGCCTGGCAGCACACAGGGAGGGGTGCTCCCTCTCCCCTTAATGCTCCCACCTCTGCCARCAGACAGAGGGCACCTGAAAGAGGGTTTATTTTACCTCTAAAAAGGCACATCCCAGCCCCAAGTTACCCCAAAAGTACCCTGGCAGAGCTGGGAACCGTGGAAAAACACCCGTGATGGGGCAGAGCCCACTGGCACCCCGAGCCCGGGGGGTGCTGGGGTGCAGACCCGGCCTCAGTCCTGCGGGAAGCAGCYCCATCCCTTCGCATTCCCAGATGTTTCTCTGCAGGATCCGGGCTGCAGCTCCGCCAGGGGGTTATTTTTAGCCRGCCCTGAGTGGGAGTGAGGTGATGCTGTCTGAGCACCGGGGAGCCCCTGAGAAAGCTGTGCGGGGCTGGGTGACACCCAGTGGCGGTGGCACGGCGGGGACAAGGGCTGCTGGGGTGACAGGGACAGCGGTCCGCACCCAGCTCGGGGCTGTAGCAGCGCTCCTGGCTCAGGTGTGACCCAGGGTGAAACTGGAGGAGCACTGTGGGGTGCCAGGAGCCCCGGAGCGGTGATTTCTCTTGGAACGATGCGCCATTCCCGGGTTTCCTGCAGCACAAACAGGAAAGGGACCGGCCACCAGCGCCCCGAGTGAGGGGAGGGATAGGCAGGGGGTGGGGGACTCGGAGACCCCCGGGGGCCCCCGCTGGGATTTGGGGGAGCGGGTGGCCCAGGGCCCGGTGGGGCGAGGGTCAGGCACGCGGGGGCTGCGGCCCCACACGAGAGCCCAGCTGGGCGCTTTTCCTGCCCGGCCCCGAGCGCGGAGGAGCCGCCCGCGAGCACAGATTGGAAAGGAAACGGGAAGCTGCTGCTGGAGCAGAGATTAGCCCGGAGGCGGTGATGTCAGCCGGCTCCTGATGGATCGGGGGCAGCGGGAGCKCGGCACCGGCCCCGTCCTGGCCACACAGCGCGTCAAACGTGCCCCTGCCGGGGCAGGATGTGACTCCATCCCCGGATCCCGTGATTYGTGTCTCCTGAGCTCGTGGATAGGTCTTGGCAGCTCTTGGCTCCACCACCCACATTGGGACCACGATCCCAGCCAGAAGCCCCCCGTGAACTAGTCATGAGCAGGGCTTTTGCCTGGAAAGGTCCAGCAGGTTTCCRAAACTCCAATTTTCCCTTTTCCCTTCCTCCACCATTCCTTCCCAGGGCCTCAGCTCTCTGTGTTTGCTGTGCCCAGCAAACCCTCCAGGCTCAGTCCCAGCCCCACATTTCCAGCGGTCCAATGTGACATTTCCCCTCTAAGTATGAGCCTTGAGTGTCCCCCGCCCTGTTCTGCCCCCCAGAGATGCTCCCACCATCACCCCACACATTCCCCAGCGTAGGTAGGGCTGAAAGGAAGGGACAAACTGCCCCAGGGTGCAGCAAAAGCTGATGGCTGGGGAGGGATGGATCAATGGATGGATCGATGGATGGATCAATGGATGGATCGATTGATGGATCGATGGAAGAAGAGAGGAAGGGAGGGAAGGAAAATGAGTGTAAGGATGGAGAGAAG